TCCCTCCCTCCCTCCCTCCCTCCCTCCCTCCCTGCGTCCCTCCTTTTTTCCCTGATTAATTTATGCCATTTCCTGCTCTTGCTCACCCCCAGCTTCTGTCCTGGGGAAGGGGAGGCCAGACCTTCAGGAAGAACATTCAGAGAGGAGAAAAAGGTTTTCGTTATGTTTGGCCCAAGCCCCAGGGACTGAGACAGAGAATGAGAGTCTGTCCCCGACAGCTGGAGCAAAGCGCCGGTAGCGTGGGAGGCCTCCTGGCTTCCACCAGGTCAGCAGGACCGGGGGACACTTAATGAGAGTCCTGGGAGAGAAGGCGGAAGGCACGGGCGACTGCAAAATAACGCCCACCAGAAGCCCGCAGCTGGGCCTCTTCCTGCACAACCGCCCAGCTCCTGGGGATGGCTGGATACAGAGGCTGTTCTGGAAGGGGGTACCATGTAGGTAGGCTTTGGAGGCCACTGGAAGGGTGACAGGTTAGCCTCATAGCTACCCATCTGTGCTGCCTTCCAGGATTCAGCTTTGCCTCTGGCATTTTTTTTAAATGGGCACTTTTGTTTTGTTTTGTTTTGTTTTGGCAAGTATTTTAGAATGACTTGAGGTCTTTAGTAGTAAATCTCTTAAGTAGTGAGTGTTTAGAAAGGCCTAGGAGGTGGCTCAGGAGGTAAAGAGCTCGCTGTACAGTGTGAGGACCTGAGTTCGGTCCCCAGAACCCATGCAAAGCAGTGTCATAGTGTGCGTCTGTCATCTCAGTGCAGCAGGGACAGGGGAAGCCCTCAAACTTTCGGGCCAGCTAGTCTGGCGTACACAGTATAGACCATAGAGACCCTGCCTCAGGCAGAGTGCTAGACAAGGCCCAGCACCCAAGGATGTCATCTGACCACCACATGCATGCCATGGTGCTCACACAGGCACATACATACATACAAACACAAACCAGTATCGCACACACATGCATTCATACACGCATACAATAAATAATTTATTGAAAGAAAATGCAGGCTTATACAACTTTTGAAAACATTTCAGAAGGTTGAGTGGACCCTTGAGGTCCAGGTAAGAACACCTCACTCTAAGAAAGGCCTATCTGGGGCTGCAGTGGTAGCAATTGGGCATTGGAGCCTTTGCTGTAGCCCCCGTCTGCTGCAGACCTCGCTTGGGTATTTCCACTGCTGATCCTTCCCATACCCTGATATACGGTAGGTGGTTGTGGTCTCCCCATTTTATAGGTGAGGAAACCAGAGCCCAGAGACCCATGGGGTCAGTGTGGCCTGAGACCTCAGATGGTCTGGGTGTGAGAGTGTACTTTCTGGTGCACCTTTTTTTCTCCCCAGCCAGCATGACCTTGAGAATGGACCTGGCTCTGGGCTTGGCATCCTGAAGACTGGATCTGTCAGGTTGTTAAACCTTTCCAGTTTTGTCTTTTGATAATTTGGGTTTTGGCTTTCCCTACATTTACTTACTATGTCCTTGCCCATTTTGCAACCATTTTGGTGTCTTATGATGTTGAAGTTTTCCTTTGTGTGTATGTGGCAAATCTGGTCATTGTACAAGGCCTTCTAAGAGTAGTTTGCAGTGGTGTAGAAGCACCTGTGTGTTCCGCCTTGCATGTACCCCTGCAGCCTGCACAGCATTCAGGCCACCAGCTTCATTAAAGAACTAAGGCTCTCTCAGAAACCCTCCACCAGATCTCCCATACTCAACACATCTCCTTTTGTTAGTTAACATAAAAAGAGACAAAGCTGTCAGCATAAACAGCAAATGAAAATGGGTCCAAACTATAGATTACATCGAAAGCGTGGCACCAGAACCTTGCTGTGTTGAAAAGCCTTTATGTAACGGGGATGGTGCAGTGGCTGTCTGTGCTGCATATAAATAATGCAACGAGAATTCAACACTGTAACATATAAATAACTTGGTGACAACTCTGTCATCATTATGTTTGGATAATGCCACAGAGGGCCAAGCAGAGCATCCAAATTTGGGTAAAGAATCTGGGGCTGGGGAGTGTGAGGTTGGGGAAAGACTATTGATGTAGTGTTGGCACTGGGGTAAAATCTTAGTGTCTTTTCTTACACTGCGACTTTAGGCAGGTTCCTCAGTGAGCCTCAGTTCTTACTGCTGTGACACAGAGGAAGGACACTAGTCATCCTGTGGATCTCAGTCCAGGGGCTAGGTGAAGTCTCTCTCCCCTTAGATGCAAGCTTGATATGTTGGAAGTGGTCCAGCCCCTTCCTTGAGACACACATTTGCTCTTGAGTTTCCAAAACCAAGTATATTTTAACACACACACACACACACACACACATCTATTAGTAGGTATTTTCAACCAGGCACATTTTAATTCAGAATTAGTGAGGGCCCCAAAGCTGTACTGCAGTAGAAAGGAAGAATCCTTTTTGTTGAGTGCAGCTGAATGCTCAGAGTGCCGTGGGCGAAGCATCTTCTGGCACAGGCAAGTGCCTGGTGGTGCTTGCTTTGGCTCCCCTTCTGAGAGGCAGCTCTGCCCACAGCACCAGGCCAACACTAACTCGGCGGCACCTAGGCTCACCTCTATAAAGAACATATTTACACCACAGTCAAAATGTTCCACATGAAGAGCAGCGTGGCCGCCATGGCGAGCAGATCTGTGTGGTTCCTTGGAGAGGGGCAGGGGTGAGGCCAAGGATCGGGGAGGCATGCTGGCACATGGGACCCAAGATGTACAGGTCTTAGGCCTTGGCACCCTGGAACCAGCCCTGGGAATTTTGAAATTATTTGGCCAGGAGTGGCTCAATTAATTTATGGTGGCTCTGATTCCTCAGCAAATCACCTGGTGTTGGTTGGGGTGGTGGTCCAAGCCCTGCTCTCCTCTCGGACATTCATAATGGAAACACCATAGGTACAGGGCACACAGTCACCATGGAAAACAGGGAGTGCTCCATTGGTTGTCTTCCTGGTAAAGGCAAGTTGAGACTGGCCACCAGGCTAGACCCAAGGGTGCCATCATCTTTTTGTAACTTGAGAAAGACCAGCCTCAGCTGGATTTACTCAGGCCCTACAGCTGGAGCAGTGGTCCTGATCCAGGGCTTGTGCCAACACACCCGAAGGGTGAGTTATGAAGCACAGCCTTCCAGAGCTGGCCAGCAGTTGGTAGGCTCTTCTTCCATGCCCGGCCCCTGAGCCTCAGGACATGGTGGCCTTAGGCTGAGTAGATGACCTTGGAGTCTGTGGTAATATCCCCAGGAGTGTTCCTGAGAGTGCTTTGGTCCTGATGTCACCCTAGGATACTGCTAGGACACCTTCCTTGTATGAGAACCCTGCGTGGTTTTCAGTTCTTGATGGTCTAGCT